CTTAAATAACATTATATATATATATATATTTGTTTTAAAGTAACAAAAATATTTTATTTATATGAAATTATTTTCTCATATGATTAAAAACTATTTCAATAACAAAAATAAAATACTTAAACAAATAAAATATTAGAATTTAATACTACCGAGATGTTTTATTTATATTTTTCATAACTGTTAAAATTTAAATTATTTACACTTTTTATATTTTTAATAAAATTACATAGATATATTTTAAATTAACGTAACATTTTACTTATATAGTATGATTTCTCAAAAATAATTCACAAAATCTGGATATCTATTTTAATTTTTATGTAAAGCAGCTTAAATATTTTCCACCCTATAATATGATAATATTATCCAAATTAATTTGAAATTTTTTGTTTAAATTTATTTAAAGTAATTCAGTATTTCTTATCATTAAGTGTAAAATGCTTAGAATTTACAAAATAGTTTAACTATTTTTTAAATTTAACATCTGTTTATGAATTTCCAATATATTAGTTATTTTTTATGCAACTTCATGACGATGATAACTTTCATTTTTAATTATTTATTGAAACCCAACATCAAATAAATAAAAATATGAAAATATCTGTGCACATTTAGTTGAAGAGCCAAAGTCATACAATTAATGAATAAAACTAATATAATTTGATTAATTTGTATTTCAATTTACAAGAATATATCTAACTCAATGTACCCACAAAATAAATAACTGGTTCCAATCTAAATTCTTACACCAAAAGTTGAATATCTAAGTAAAAACATCTTATTATTTTATAAAAATATTTTAATTATTTTTATACATGTTAATTATGAAGACTCAAACAATTTTAAAAATTGAATTGAATTATCAACCGATTGTTACATTTTAGCTCTTTTGTATAAGTTTATATGTATAAGTTTTCAAAAGATTATATTTATATTCATTTATGTATATTTGAATGGATCAACATTTTAGATTATTTTCTTCATTTGATTATCAAAATAACATATATTAAATTATACATAAACTTACTAAACTACATTTAGAAATCTAAAACAACAACCAAAATAAAAACTATAAGTCTTCTTTTGCTGTCGACTCTTCAAAAACAAAATTAATTACCAAAGTCAATGCAAAATTAATCAAAAATCAAACCTATCAAGAAAATAATTATTATGGTTGAATCAGGGAAACATATGCAATCTAATATATCCATGTAATAACCAAAACAACTAGAAATTATATATCTAAATCAGATGTCTAACTAAAATAACATAGTATTATTTATAACAAATCATACATACAAATTAAAAACAAGGTAAAAATATTATATAACTGAAAATAAAAGATTAAGTAATATTTATAATATATTTCTTTTATTAATATTTATATCCGGACATGAGTACCTGAAAATCACATTGTAATAGAAATCATCCATGCTGGTTTGGTTAGAATTTAAGTATTTAGTGGAGCATAAAAATATTGGTTTAATCTGAAAATTATTGTTATGTTGATTTTGATTTGGTTTGATTAGGTTTTCGATCAACATACAGAGTTCACAAGTCTAACAACAAAGAAAGACATTGGGGTGATTGGTAGTGATTGTAAAAGATTTACATGGTTCTAATTCTCGCTATAGATATAAAATCAAAGCAATCAAGTTATAATAAAAAAAAAATTAAAGATACAGCCCAAACTATTGAAATTAAATATATTGGATTTAAGAATTAATTTTATATTTAGTTCTCTTAAAACCTTAAAATAATTCTACAATAAAAAAATCTAAAACTAAATTCACAAAATCCACAGCTTAACTTTTTAATGCAAAAAAACTAGCGTATCCACCAATGATTTTCTAGAAAATGGTCATATATAATGAACATTATTGTTATGGGATTATGATTTAGTACCCATGTATATATCCTACTTATATTAATTATCATACAACCTTCACTTTTCACACATATATATATATATATATATATAGAATATAGTCAAATTTCTTTTGACATGCATAGAATTATATATTGAATACTCCTATAGTCTCAAAGGAATTGTAGTTGAAAAAAAAATGTTAAAACAATTTAAATGATTAAGTTTCTCAGTTTTACCTATTCATCTTTTGAGATTGATTAAATTATCAATTTGCTCAAAATGCACTGTTATTAACTACTGTAAAAAAAAAAAAAATTAGATTATACAATATTTATTACAAAATTTAAGCTAAACATCTATCATGTGAAACCAAAAGAAACATATTAAAAGAAAAACTAGAAGGAAAATGTAAATAACGTGATAAGAGTATTACTTCAAAAAGATATAATGTGTTAATTACTCGATGATGATCTAATGACATGTGAATTTTGATTTGTTAAGTAACCTAGATTTAAAAGTACGCTACACTATATTGTTTGATCATGCGGATATTAACTATTTACTTACAATCCATTTGAATATTCGAAAAAGAGTCTATCAATAAAATGCACTTCTCTTAAAATATCAGTTTGTATCATTCTATAAATCAGAGATATTCTATGTTAATAAGAAAAAGAAAAAATATATAATGTGGTAGCTAAAACCCATTAGGAAAAATATGGTATTAGGTAGCTAAATCTGGTAGTACGTGTGAGACAAACAACAAATTGTATCAAATGAGACGAAATAAAACTACTACATTCTGTTAATAATCTTTTAAAAACGAAAATAAATAATGTTATTTGGTGGGTGCTTTGAAATTGACTCGAGTACGTTATTACACAATACACATTACACACCTACTCCCATTTTCATTACCAAACCATAATCACTCGTAAAGTCTCACCAACCGCAAAACGCTATTTCCCTTCAGCCACCAGCCGCGACCACCTTTTTCCGAAAGATATCTTGTTGCGGCTCAAACCAAGTTCAAGTTTTTTCTATCTTCAACCCTTAGATCAAACATCCAACGGCCATGATTAAATTATCAGTCTCTCACCCACCTTCATTCTTATTTTCAACTTATATTTTTTTCCCACAAAATAATGAGAAAAAGTAAAATAAATAAAAGCTTTAGATACTCACATTAATATTTCATCAATATAGTATTCATTTTCCTTATATTTTCAATTATATAATTATCCATGTGACCCAAAAAAAGAGACATGTGTCAAAAATATCTAAAAAGATTCTCAATTTTTTTTTTGGAATGATAAACCTTTTCTTTCCTTTTCTGTTGTTTTATTAATCTTAAGGTGACATATATAGTACCCACTAAACTAGCAATGAAAAAAGCTAAAATACCTAGGGCTGGGCAAAAAAAATCAAACCCGAAAATCCGAACCGAATCTGACCCGATAAAAAGGAACCCGAACCGATCCGAACCCGACATAAGTACCGAATGGATCTTGTTTTACGGTATTTTGGGTTATAGGTATTACCCGAACCGAACCCGAACTTAAATGGATATCCGAAAGAACCCGAAACTTTAAAATTCCAAAAAAACTTGTATCATATCCTATCTAAATTTCTAATATGTTTCCAAAACAGATTAATATATTATTGAGTACCTACAATAATTAGTTATGATATAAATAATTAGCTCAAATATTTAGTTTAATATATAGTGTTATTTGGTTAATATTAATGTTTATGATTGACATTACATTTGAAGTTAAGTTACGAATAAATTTGTTTTGAAGTTTATATAATGTTGTTTTTTAAAGTTTAAATAGTATTTCTTATGTTTATAGAATTGTTAGTTGTTAACTTTAATTTTTTATGTTTCATTATGTATTATATTTCGTTCATACAAGGCTTTGGTTTGTCGTTAATCATGATAGGTTTAGTGTTGTCACATATAGTTCAATGACAAATCTAATATGGTTGATAGATGAGTTTCACAATATTATTTTGAAGGAGAACAATATGGTTTGTAGAAGCTAAATACACAAATTTAATAAAATGATTGAAAATATAGTGAGTTTAATTGAGTACTAGATTTCGACCCACACAACCGTGCGGGTATTTTAATACGAATATATTTGAAATTATATAATAAAATTTATCAATAAATAAGTATAATTTGATTATTTATGCTATCCAATTTATAATCATTTTATGTGACTTATAATATTATTAATATAAAATTTATAAATTTGTATTTTTGTAATAATTTAATTATTATGTAAGATTACTAATTTATATATTTTGTTTTATTTCTAAATTTGAAATCTATGTAAAAATTAATTAAGTTGGACCTACATAATACATAAACAAAATTTTGGGATATTGT